TGCGCATACAGGGGACCTCCAACACGACTCAGATGTCACAGGGTCTGGGAGACAAGGCAGGTAGGCGGTGACAGTCCTGAGGCGAAAGGGCAGGACAGGCCGAATGTTGGGGTTTAGAGGGGGCCAGAGAAAACATCCACTTCGGTCTGCCACCCAGGCCTCGCCCACAACCGTCACGTATCTGGGCACTGATTGCCTGGAAGTTCCATAACCCAGGACGCATAACTCCGCCCTGAGCCGTGGTCATGCCCACTGCACCCACAGGTGGCCACAGTAGGAATTGCGAGTCAAGGCTGTCCACTGGCCCTGGGGCGCAAGGAGGAGCCTGGTCCCCCGCCTGCACCTCGCCTGTGGGAGGAGACAGACCTCAGAGACCCAGCCCATTCCTGATCCAGGCTTGTCCGCCCCACCCCACCCCCAGTCTCCTAGGATGTGTGCTCTGTGCCCTGGGTGCGTGCAGCTGCCCCCTGCCAGGACGAAGGGCTAAGGAGCCAACGTGGCCAGGAGCTGGAGAGGTCGGGAAGAATGAGCAAACGTCTCGGAAGAAGTATGGCCAGAAGCTGAGAAGCAAAGATGGGGAGACTTCGTCTCACTTGTTGTCAGAAGGGCCCAGTCTCTGGAGAAGGACGTCGTGCTCGCTAAGTGGAGGGTCAGTGAGACCCTCAACGAGATGGGCTGACACAGTGGCCGTGACGTCGGGTTCGAGCAGAGCAGCAAGTGTGAGGACGCTGTAGGACCAAGCACCGTTTCGTTCTGTTGTCCACGGGGTTGCTGGGAAGTCCATCTGACTGGACGGCTACAGCACCGGTGACACCACCAATGACAATGATGCTGACAGTGGGGCTTGCAGGCTAAGACGAGGGAGTCAGGCCTGCCAACCTACTTCCAAAAATCCAACCAAACAAAAATCAATGTTTCCTTCAGGCCTGGAATCGAACTCATTCCCGGGGCTCCCAGCCAAACGCTGGACAGGCGCAGAAGGGGAACGTTGACACCAGGTAGCCAATTGCACTCCTCAGTGCCCTCACGCCTGGGAGATCAGAAGAAGGGCTGTGTTCGAGCAGGAAGAGAGCTCAGAGGCCAGGGAGGCATAGGAAAGAAGGACACAGGAAGAGGTAACTAAGGGGAGGAAGTGGGAAAGAGCTGTTCCGTCGTGGGGACTGCAGTCAATGTCATGAAACAAAATGTGTATGAACTGCTGTGTGGAAAATCCATTGGCTCTGTCAACTTTCACCCAAATCACAATTTTAAAAAGAAACAAAGAAAGGAGACCGTATGGATCACGAGGTCTCACCCCGTTGGCGTGGAACGCCCTGAGTCCAGGTCCAAGCCTCGGTGGTGGACAACAGTGCTGTCTCCAGGGGTCAGCGGAAGCTGGGGGCGAGGAGTGAGTGGAGGGGAGAGAAAAAGAAACAACGGCGCACTGAGGGCGCTGCACCAGAAACCACGCAGGCGCAGGCGAGTCTTGCAAGGAGAGGCAGCCATGTCTCTTTATTCTGACCACACAGGGCTTCCACAGGTGGCGCTGCGGGCTGGGCAACGCTCACTGCCCCAGGATCTGCATCAAGGGCCTCAGCTTCTCCTTCACGGATGGATCCGCAGGGGGAAGGTCCTTGACCTTCAGGATCACCGCGTGAGCCTCTCGGAACAGGTCGTGTCCCACCGCAGCCTCCACGCGCTGGCGCCACGCGGCCAGCTTGGGTCTGCCTTCAAAGACGCGGCAGCCAGCGCTGACCGGCTGCAAGGATGGGGAGGCGGGCAAAAGGGGGCTGGATGTGGCCGCAGACAGACAGCTTCAGGAGTCCCCTCCATGGTCTGTCCCTTCTCTGCTACCTGTGTGAGGGGCTGAGGGTCGCCCCCCCCCGGACACGTCCCTGTGGGGTGGGGTGGTGCAGCCCTATTTTACAGTTAAGAACACTGAGGTTCAGAGAGGTGAAGTGACTTGCTCCGTGTCCCCCAGACAGGAAGTTGGGATGTCAGTTCCCACCCAGAGCCCCGTACCCCCTCCCCCCGCTGCCCACTGGGCCAGCCCGCCCATCCCACTCACGTGCATCAGCTCCGTGAGGGCCACCAGGTCCGCCAGGGAGATGTGGGGCCCGGCCAGGAAGGCCTTGTTCTGCAGGAACTTGTCCTCCAGCAGCTGCAGGCATCTGTCTAGGGTGGCCAGCGTGGCCGCCAGTGTCTCGGGGCGCACCGACTCACCCAGGAACACGGGGATCATCACCTGATGGTAGGTAGGCAGAGCGAGGGATCAATGCCTGCTGAAAGCACGACATGGTACCCTCATCTGATCCATCACCAGGCTTCCTCACGTTGTCCCCTACCTCATCCACCCGTAGCCGCCAGCTGCCCAGGCGTCTCATCTCCTGTTCCATGTGCCAACTCCCACCCCTCTCCCTGGGTCCTTATTCAGGGCAGCCAGTGAGCCCCATTTGCAATGCCAGTCTACCTATGTCCTCTCCCCGTATAAAGCCTTCCATGGCTCCCCACTGCCCTGAGGACAAAGGCCTCAATGCAAGACCCACCCCAGTGCAGCACTCATCATCTGTCCACCCCCCACCAGGCTTCTCCAGCGTGAATGTGCAAGCGAATCCTCCCTGGGATTGGGTTAAACTGGGATTTCTTCCTCAGTGGGCCTGGGGGAGGCCCAAATGCATTTCCAATGATCGCTCAGCAATGCCAATGCTGCTGCTCTGTGACCCACTCTGAACAACAGGAGTCCTGGGTCACGCGGCAAATTATTAACGTACTCAGCTAATAACCAAAAGCTTCAATGTTCGAATCCACCTAGAAGCACCTTGGAAAAAAGCCCTGTCCATCTACTTTCAAAACACTGGAAAACCAGGCCCACTGACCTTTTGGTTGGCAGCCAAGCGCTTTAACCACTGCACAACCAGCCCTCCTTGATTAAACACTAAAACCAAACAAACTCATTGCCATGGAGTTGATTGTGGCTCACATCGCCCCTAGAGGACAGAGTGGAACTGCCCCACGGGGTCTCCAAGGCTGTCAGTCTTCACAGAAGCAAA